TTGACATTTAAATCTATCAAACGTCATAAAGGTGGTGTTAAGGGAAAATATAAATATCGAACGAACCAACATCTCACACTGGACACGAGATAGTTTATTTTGCTGACAGCGCGAGTTTGAGCGACAGCCAGTTTTCCTGTTCATTGGTTTACAATATATTGTGGACGTTTGAAAGATCCCGTTATTTATAGCCATAGGGTGATGTGTTACGACTATCAAATAATCATATCATATTAAAACCGAGTATTATTCATAGTATGAGTATAAAAAAAGCTTATTTAAGAGGGTTCTTCCTGGTCAATTCAAGATGGTGGCTATGCTAATATGTCTCTACGGTACAAGTTCTCAACATTCTAAAAATATTTTTTCAATGATTGTGTACTTTTTCTGCTCTTAACATAGAACCTGGGTTTTCTGCTTGCAGTGGGTGGAGCAAAAAATGTTTAACTATTACTTAGAAGCTAAAATCACATGTGAAAAAGACTAATTTTACGGATTTTCAAAATGATTTTGTAAATACTTTAAAAACAATCATAAAGTTTCAGTTCAGCCAGTACCTAGTTTGGATCTTTGATTTTACTGTTTATTTCAACTCGATAAACACTTAATGCCAGGAGGTTCTTATTTGTAGTACCATACATGGTAAACAGCGGTGGGTGGAACCCTCTTAAGTAAAATGAAATGGTTTCGGTAATTGAGACCATTTAGACTCTAAAACTATTATTTATACGTATTACAAATAGTTACGTTTTGTTTTCACTCGCTGTTTCGGACAAACGTTTTGTTACTCGTGGACAAAGTAACGAATCCCTGGATTGATCACACAATCTATCTCCGGTGTCTCTGCTAATACTCTTCCTCTCTCTGTTTACAACTACAATGCGAACAAAACAGAATCCATTGTTCCATGATTTACAATTGTTTACACTCTTAAGTAATAAATATACATTTTCATGGTATAAAATTATATTTATGTGAAAATGTAATATTATAAAGTGCAGAGTTTCAACCACTGTGAAATATAAATGTTAAAAATATAGTCCAAAGTTTAAAGTAATATTTTGCTAAGATAGAATTTTTTTAACTTAAACATAACACCGTTAGAAAATTTTGAGGACGGAACCTGTACTTGTCACTGAATGCTTATCCTACAGACAATATTAAGCTGAACATTTGTATTTGAGTCCGCAATTAAATCGGTGAATGTTTTTTTAGTTAAAGTCATGAAACTTCATAAACGCAGAGTGTTGGAATTGTCTCAATCATGTTTCAAAATGTTTTGCGTTATTAGGCCTATTCGACATTACTCTTTTGATTGCCTAATGAACTGGATTTGATTTATTCCGGTAACTGATTAAAAGGCAGGGAAGTGGGTCGACATCTTGGTCGCAAAACTTCTCTCAACCTGTTTTCATTGTTTTCGGAGTAACTCTTTTTCTTTAAACACAAGTTGTAAATAAACATTTTTAAGGTTCACTGGATATTTACGTATCAGCTGAGAAAAATAATTGGCCATTAGTTCACTATCACAAATACAACATGCCCCACTCTTTGCCATATGTTACAATTTGATTCGCCTAGTTCGTCAGTCTAACTGTCACATGACTTTCTGTTCAATTTAACTATTCCAATTAATTATATTGTATTTATCTTTGAAGGATGTTTTATCTATGTTAGTTCAATACAATTACCTCATAATAGCTGCAACGGTTAAATATATTTCCATTGAATAAATGTTATGGTTTGTATGCTCAACCTTGTTTCATGAGGCCCTTTTAAGTGGTTCCTAGAAGCCGTTTCTCTGGGGGAGAGGGAGTTGAGTAACATTTCCACCAATAGTAGTTAAGTGTTTAAATGTTATGGCTCAAACACATTTACAAGCTACACCCTGGCATTTTTACACTAAGATCAAGTCTAGTCAAGTATACTGCACTCGCTCGATATATGTTATTAAAACATTCTAGAAAGATTGAATTTTTACCTAATATTCATACGTTAGCTATAGTGGATATTTTTTAAAAATTGTAACTTGTTATGATTTAAGGAACCCTTTAAAATGTCACCTCGAGAATAAATCACGATTTAAACAATCCCTTTCATTTGGAAATTTAAACTCGGAAGGTGAAAATTGGTAATCCAAACACGACAGTCGTGATAGGCCGGGGGAAAGCTTCTCGAATATTTGCTCTTGGGATAATCCTTTAAGTCTACTGAGTGGCTCTTCATCATTAGGCTAGCTGGATTGTTGAAGTACAATCTAGTTTGTTAGGGGATAAAAGTATTTTCTCTTACAAAATGTTGACTAACGCATAAAAAAACATATAATGAACATTTTAGATAGCTCTAATATGATAGTTTTCTGTTTTTTCACAACATACTTGATTTCTTACTAAATCAAGGTAATCAACAAATACCCCTAGGGTTTTCACTTTTTTTCGTGAAGACATCTGAGCCGAGATTAGTACAGTAAAAGTTTAATAACATGCATCTCTCAGAGGGTTGTAAACAATTCATTTATGGATTATTATAAGATTGAAAACACCTATAAAACCGATTTCAACTGAATGCCATATTCCATTTCAAACGATGAATATACGTGTATATCACACATTTACATTCCAATCAAAACTGAAAGTAAAACTTCAAAAATATACCGAATCGCTAGTCAAGTTGTACGACGAAAAGACTGAAAAGTCCAATTCTCTGTTTGGAAAATCTAGTATAGGTGACTTGTATAAAAACTTAAATCCAATAGAAAATAGTTTTACCATTTAGTACAAATATTACTATTATGATGCTGATATTATGAAAACGAGTAAAAAGAGCAAATATTCTCATGTTATTACCATGTTTCAATCTCTGTAAGACAAAGTTTTTAAATTTGGCAAACAAAATGTATTTTTATCCATGGATATGAAATAAACTCATTTGAATAAAATTAAAATTTAGAAGACTTTTGTCCATCTACCTTCATCAGTATTACGGGATATGGGTAATGGTAACCGGTTTCATATATGCATAACAAACACCATCAGACCACGAAGATGATGAATAACTTCCAACGACATCTCTTCATCTAATTTTAAATTTACAACGCAGTTTAAGGGGTTTATACTTTTTTAATGTTCCAAACATATTTTTACCAACACTTAAACACTGTGCTTTTCCGTGTTTATACATTAATCTCAAACCAAATTATAACCTTTGTCCAACTTGGATAACAAATTATATTTATTAAAACATCCTTTCGAAGCTGCAAAAAAATGATCAAACAACACACGAGGGGGTATAACAGTAGCAGATGTATATCTGTGTGTGTGGAAGGGCTGAGGCCACGGGGGGAATATCCACCACCTCTTTACCGCGAGTGTTAACAGACATGAAATATGCATCAGAACCACGCGTGTAAAGCAAATCACACAACCATGTAATATTCAACATGGGGCGAATCATGTTATAGACCTGTCAAACTTACATAATGTTTGTAGAATAGCATCTACCGCTACTCAAACATGTGTTTATGATTTATGTATTACTTTCAGCCGAGTAGTTTTATCTGAGCATTGCAGTGCTGTGTCACAGTGAAATAGAAACATGGGAAGTTTTGTGACGATAAAATATCAACTTGGTTGTATTACTACCACTGATTATGCTGAAAGTTATTTCTTTAAATACCCAGTTTCATTAATTTGAATTGTTGTTTGAAAAAGTAGAAATGAAAGCATTTTAAAAAGTAAGGAGAGAAAATGAAAAAAAAATATTGTTTTGGTGTTGGTGATGAACGTCATTCAGTATTTAGCATATAAAGCTTAATTCGATAATTTCTAAAGCTCAGGAGCAGTCATACTCATAATTATATAAGTAGATATACTGTTCTTTGAAACAGATAACACACAAAATTAGTTCTGTGATCATAAATAGATATTATAATACTTCATAGATTTCTAAATGCATTTTTTTCAGTGCCTTTTCCCTGGTTGAAACGCAGGCAGATTAAGGACATGGGTGGGATATTTGTGTACGAGTAGGCTATATTAGTTGTTAAATACCTACAACCATGTAGAAAGAGAAAATGCCGCTTTCATATGTACACGTTATAAAGCTCTACATTTATGTACTCCTCGTATATTAGGATTATTTGTATTGATATTTTAAACTATCCGCTTTGGTGTGCATTGGTTTTAGATTATTTTAATTTCGGATACGAAATTGAAATGAAACGTACGTGTGGTTTTGATTAGTGATGATAGAACTTAAGTAAGCATAATACCACATGATTTACTAATTTATACAATATGTTAATTTTGTATTAGCATATCATTGAACCCACCCATGTTTTGCTCTTACATCATCTTTTAAAATCAGTTAACAGATAATTCGATTTGATGTAAGCTAGACAGAGGTCAATAATAACAACTTCAATTCCTGTGTACAGCTTCAAACTTTAAAGTCAAAGAATAATGTCACTTTTGACGAGGAGAAATAATTTTTCACATTCTATCTCCACAGTTTACCTACATTTATACATATAGAGCTGCAAAACGTATACATATGAAAGCAACATTTTCTCGTAATACATGGTTGTAGTTAATTAACCACTAATCAATATTTTGATAAATCGTTCTTGTTTTAGGTGTGTAAGATTTGTGTTTGTTCATGCCAATCCCTATTTGAAAATTACCGTAAATTGTTTAAAGATAATAGAAGGACATAAGTCACGGGCGAGGAGCATTTCCACCCGTTAGCTTTTATGATTCATTTCAAAATTACGTCCACATTTTATTCATCCGTTTAGAAGAAAAAAATGTTTTTGATTACTTGGATAACTGTTGAGTCAAAACCTTCCTTCCTGATAATATTTGAGTTGTATTTTTGTTTTTTCTTTCGCTTATATAAGATGGACTACAATCGAACTCTTTCTGTGTCAAATTAAATATTGATTAATTCGTATTTTACTCACGTAGTTTTTTTTTTTTCATTTGTGTTTTATTTTGTTGCAGGACCAGCCATGCAGTGTTATCTTATACGTCTGAAAAGTGAATGCTGAAACTTTGGGGTGAGTAAAAATAAAATAAAATAGCATATTGTTTCCTAAATAAATATAGACAAATATTAGTCAACCTCCACTTTAATCAATCACCTAGGGTTATAATAGCTGTTTATCCATAGTTGTTAAACCTTAAAACATTATTATAATATTTCACTAGCTGTAGTCTAAGTAATTTGTGTACTTGCCGCAAATGATTGACAGTATAGGGTCAGTTTTCAAGTAGATAGGTAGACAAGGTTTTGTTGTGATAGGTTGCTGTGTTAAAGCTACTGTTTGAAGCCTAGTTGTATATATTGTTTTTAATTTTGTAATAAAACTACTGTGGTAATGGTGACGGGCTGGACTTCCCAACCACGAGTTGCTCCAACTACCAAAAATGTTTGTTTCCCGTACAGGTTCTGTAACCTCAGGGCTTTATTGTTCGTCATTTAATAAAATAATTAGTTAGATTTATGTTGTGAAGAGTATTGAGTTTCTAGTTTATATTCGAATAAATAAAATAACATGTAATACTTATGTACAATCTTAGTGTATATAAATATGTATTGTATTGTACCTGTTGTATTTGAAAAGAACAATAAAGAGTTTTTCAATTCATTCATTCAATTCAAATTGCTAAAGCACTACACTTCAGTTGTATAAAAATAATAACACCAACAACACGTGTATGGTCAGTCTACGTGTTGTTCTTGTCAGACAGTTAATCACAAACAGATACAATAGACCCAAAGGCCGTTCAAAGCCCCGACTCAGCACCTTATTGTGTTTCTAATTTAACATCGGCTCAGCCCTTTGATGCTCTAACTAGGTTAGTTACGTTTCTAACCCTTCCGCACCTTCGTTATCACTCTTACCTTATGTCCTAGTGAATTTTAAGTACCTCCAGTACACGGTTTGTTCCAGTGGGAACGCTTATTAATATTTTTTTACCTAAGGAACATTCTCTGATAAAATATTAATTCAAATTTGTCAACGAACTTATGTTTTGAAATTGATGGAGCAGATAAAAAAACATGTACGTGTTTTGATCGGTTTTGTATGTTAGGTAATTATATGAAAATAATATTTTCTATTATTTGCTGTGGTTTCACTTCAAGTCTAGGATGACCTGGAGAAATGTGCCAAATTATCCCAGGTGGAAAATCCACAAATTATCTGGCTTCAAAAGAGTAGAGGGTCTCTCAATGTAGTAGCCCGGCTAATTCAGGAGTCTCACTACAGATTACCCTCATGTGTGCGTGACATTGTTCCTGCTCTCCTTAAAAAATAAAATAGCTACCCTAAAGGCATCTAAGGTGTACATATATTAACCTTAGTTTATATAGCCAATCCATTGAATTTTTGACAGCAAAAAAACCCTACTGCTACATAGGAGATAAAGTTTGGGAAATGAAAACGAACATGAAGCATTAAGAGATTGCAAGAGGGGAGGGCTTGAGAATGAGAAGAAAAAGAAAAGTCAAATTCATTATCAAGATAAGTACTCTGTTGCTTGACAAAGTTTAAACAGAGACTTAATACACAATCCGAAACATTAGCTAATGAATATTGCCTGTTCCTTTCAATTGTATTAACTTTGTGTGTATCTCTTTTTCATACAATGACGACATGATTACATTTCTCTAAAATGAAAAGTATAATATGGAATAAAACGTTGCTTATATATTCAAATGTATTTATATAAGCTATATACTTGTAAATATCACATGTGAAATGTCTTTTGGGTGAGTTACAAAAGTTTTCCTATGTAACAATGAATCTAGCATGTGATATAATGTGTTATATACAATGGTGAACAAGCTTTGTTTAAGAGTAAGGTGAGTATTGTAAGACCATGTTATGGGTACAAGGTAATAAATAATGTATAGTGATTAACAAATGTTTTATTTTTCCGTGAGCTTGGTGCAGCTGGTTCTTTTTTGCATGCTTATGATGTGAAATGTTGAACACATGTCTTTTGGGAAGAGCATGGTACGACTGTGTCCTGTGTACGTGCCAATAATGTACAGTGACCAATCATTTATACGTTTCAGGGTGGACTTATTACAATTGTATCAATTTAACAACCTATGTGTTTTTGAATGAGCATAGTGCAACTGTATACTGTGTACGTGCTAATGACGTACAGGGACCAACCAACTATGTGTTTCAGAAAGACCTTAGTATGCTAGTGATCAACCTGCTTATGTGTTTCAGGGTGAGCATGGTGTGGCTGTGTCCTGTGTACGTGCTGCTCTGCACGATGACATGCACGTGCGGGTTCGCTGCGACACTGAGACATGCACGCCATCAAGCCGCACCTCCGCCCGACAGACTGCCCCCGCTCGACATCCCTTCTCGGTATATGCAAACTTTAGTGTTTTTTAGGTTATATTAATGAAGGGTTTCCCGGTTCAATCTTAATAAATTTCTAGGCCTTTTTGATGGTTCCAAGCTATTCCCAGCTGTCCTTGATGGGTTATTAACAAATAATTGTCCCGTCTAAAGTTGGTTCATATGTCATCTCACTTTGTTTTAAATTCATATTTAGGTACGTAGAATTTTGACACTATCTATATGCAGTAAAATAACAATTAAGACAGTGACAATTGGAGTTAAAATATATTGCATACCAATCAAGTGTTCGTTATCTTCAACTGCATTGTGGTTTTAGGTAACGAGGTATAAAAATATCTAAACCTAATATTTGTGTCCGTAAAAAGATTAAGACCAGTCTTGATCAGTAAATTTCAAACATATTAGCATTACATTCTATACTACATGGCATTTAATAGCGTAGAATCTTTAAATAACCTATACCCTTTATAAGCACAAAAGCGGCCGGTCGTTGCAGTACATGTGTTTATCTTTGAAGACAGTTCTCTTAAAACCCTTGCCTAGACAAACACTGGTTGGTTCACAGGGCCTTCATTGCGTTACTGGGCCTAACGTTGTTTGTCCGTGACACAGGCAAAAGCTTTTACTTTACTCAGTTTTCACTCCCCCTGATTACGTGGAAGTGAGTTGTGTGTTGATCTTTTCTTGTTTCACTGTTTTGTCCTTTCATCTTTCTGTTTGAGTTGATACAGTGTCTTAAACTAAAAATTGGATAAGCATTTGATTTTTTGTCATCTTCTTGCTTTATTTCCATTTGCTTTTTTCAGGATATCATAAATTTCACAAAATGTACTAAACGCATAAACCGTATGCAATGTAAGGCCTCTTAATATTTATTTTACTATTCTGTTGCTTACTTAAAATACAAAACGTCTAATGTCGGTGAAATATGAAAACGGTATGCTAGAAGAATTAAAATTCATTATTGCTTTGTATAGGTAAAGTTTTTCAAGATCTAAAAGTAATGATGAGAGAATGTATTTTGTACAACAATTTAAACCGAATGTAACTGTGCAGATACGATATGGACATGACGGATGACGCGGTAGAGGACGCGCCCGCGCCGGAGGACTCACTGCTGATACACACGCTCAAGGGCAAAGTGAGAGGTCAGACCATGACAGCAGCTACAGGCAAACTAGTGGACGCCTGGCTGGGCATACCTTACGCACAAAAACCCATAGGTAAGTTCATAAATCTGTACTGAACCTGTTTATAAATTCCATGGTGAATTTATAAATATATAAATTTATAAATTTATAAATTTATTTACTGTTTATAAATTGGTGCTTCCAATTGTGGTAAATTGATAGTTAATCTATTGATGGGCTTATGGGAACACGTGATTTCGTAGATAGTTTTAATATGTGTAAGCAAAACTATCGTCGTGATTATTACGTGTGTAATACAAGGTAATACTTACAGAAAGTCTGTTATACTGGTACAATATTAAGACAGTTTATTTGTTCTCTAGGTCCACTGCGGTTCAAGCACCCTCGACCACCCGACCGGTGGGACTATGTCTACAATGCAACCAAGCAGCCCAACTCTTGTGTTCAAATCTTCGACACCGTGTTCGGAGACTTCTCCGGTGCGATGATGTGGAACCCAAATACCCAGATATCCGAGGACTGCCTCTACCTGAATGTCGTGGCACCTAAACCTCGTCCTACCAACGCCGCGGTCATGGTGTGGGTCTTCGGAGGAGGGTTCTACTCGGGATCCGCCACCTTGGACGTCTACGACCCACGGATCTTAGTTTCAGAAGAGAATGTTATCTACGTGTCGATGCAGTATCGCGTAGCTTCACTCGGATTCCTGTTCTTTGACTCGCCAGAAGTCCCCGGGAACGCGGGGTTGTTCGACCAGCTGATGGCGCTACAATGGGTCCACGACAATATCCATTTCTTCGGTGGAAATCCACACAATGTGACGTTGTTTGGAGAGTCAGCCGGTGCTGTATCAGTGTCTCTTCACCTTCTGTCACCCCTCAGTAGAAACTTGTTTAGCCAGGCCATCATGGAGTCTGGATCAGCGACAGCGCCCTGGGCGATCATATCGCGTGATGAGAGCATTCTGAGAGGACTTAGACTCGCTGAGGCTGTAGGTTGTCCACACACGCGTGGCGAGATCAATGAGGCTGTGGACTGCTTGAGGAAGAAGAATGCCTCGGAACTGGTTGAGAACGAGTGGGGGACTCTAGGGATTTGTGAGTTCCCTTTTGTCCCTATTATAGACGGAGCGTTCCTGGACGACCTGCCTGTGCGATCACTTGCCACCAAGAACTTCAAGAAGACAAACATCTTAATGGGAAGTAACACGGAGGAAGGATACTACTTTATTATATACTACCTCACTGAGCTCTTTAGGTGAGTAATGTTTAATACACATATTTAGTAGATTATACAGTTTTAAATATAACCCTGCACTTTTATACTTTTTTTTATCAATTAGTAAAACTCTACAAAATAAAACATTAATTTCAATTGGATTGTTATCTTCTCCAAATCAGACATATTTTCATAAAATCAGATCCTTTTTAGTTGTGTGTAATGGCCATATTAACTTTTACAAATAATTTGATGTATTTATAACAACAGAGAATTACGTGAAAGAATTATCCATTGTCTACTACATAGTACCAATAAACAATGCTGTAGAATCCTATGTTTTAATGACCACTTAAATCATTTGCCGTACATAAAAAAAAATAATTTTAATCAATTACCATTGATTACCTCCTCTTCGTCTTTGATCTGCCAATGCCGGATAGACAGCGTCAAATTAAGATGCAAAAAAACAAAAATAAACAGCAAAACAACAACACAACAACAAAAACAATCATAGGCTACAGGAAGGAAATAGGTTTTAACATCCCCACAACTACTAATATGTTAATTTATGTTGAACCTGTTAAAGTTGTTTCAGAAAAAGAGGTCCGATACATCCCAATTTCTCACAGGTCTTTAACAAGTCTAGTGCTAATGGACAGCATAACTAGAATACCAACAGTAATTGATAAATGCATTATTCCAACAGGAAAGAAGAGAACGTGTACGTAAACAGAGACGAATTTCTTCACGCGGTCCACGAACTCAACCCTTACGTCAACAACGTGGCTCGTCAAGCCATCGTGTTTGAGTATACTGACTGGCTCAACCCTGACGATCCTATACGCAACAGAGACGCCCTTGACAAGATGGTAGGAGACTATCACTTCACCTGCAATGTCAACGAGTTCGCTCACAGATATGCCGAGACTGGCAACAACGTCTACATGTACTACTTCAAATACCGCAGTATAGGTGAGGCCTCTTTTAATTTATGTTGGCATGGAATTAGTTTTTTAGTTAAGAGGAACGTAAAAGACATGGTATTTGCTTTAGGGCTTTAGTGGCTTTTAGGCAACTCTTCGGTAATTCGATAGATGTCAAGTGGTATATATGTTTGAGAAATGTAACGTATTTCATTATGTATTGTGGATATTGTACTTCCATACGTGGTTCTGAAAGTTTTTTTTTTTTTTTTTTTACAAAAGAGTGAACAATCAAGTCTCACTCATTCAAGCAAGTCGGGCGTAAGGCCTTTCGTAGAAAAATAATTGAAGCTTTCCCAAGCGATATTTTTTAGAAATATTGCTTGTTTGTCCATGTCTAAAGTAACGTATGTGCACTCACAACCCTAGTCTGGGTTTTATCTCATAATTCAAACATCAATGCATATTACTCTTTTGCTCTTGACATCAATGATGACCTAATCGTAGTCTCTCGCCTAATTATTTAAGATGAATATTTTACAGTCAAAACTTCGAACCTGTTTGTGTGGGAACATTTTACGTGCTTTCATAATATTTTTAACTTTTCTGGCTAATTGATTCTAGTTGAAAGTAAAATAGCTTAACAGTACTTAATACATGATTTCTAGGAAACCCCTGGCCATCATGGACGGGTGTGATGCATGCGGACGAGATCAACTACATCTTCGGGGAACCCCTGAACCCCGTTCTCAACTACCACCCTCAGGAGGTGGAGCTCAGTCGACGCATGATGCGCTACTGGGCAAACTTCGCTAAGACTGGGTAACTTAAGCAACAAGTCAATTAGAGATATTAAAAAATGGGACTGTAGTATGATATGTAATTAATTCATTTTTTTAATTTAATTTTTATCTTGATCTATACACTTTCTTTCAAGTATTTTATACAAAATAAGTAAACGAAAAGCCATTTCATTCTAACAAACAAAATACAGAGGATAATTTTACTAAAAGCATTGATTACCGGTTAATTGCGTCAAAATATTGGTCATTCAGAAAATAATCGTTTCTATTACAACTCACGTTTATAGGGTTACTTTATATTGACAAGGGTTTTAAGTACGTATTTTAGCGTACAGCAAGGGAAGTCGTTCTAAAATGAACTACTCATCCTTAATCACCTTGTGATTGATATCTCACATGCATTATTTTTGTTTACTTAAAATCGGGTATCAGGTGTTCCCTTAATAATTTTTTGGTACTTAAGTATTATACGCAGGCCACCCTTATACAACGCGCTGCGGCGGTTAGGTTTGGTCATCATGAAGCTTTTATGACTTGTCTGGTTCGATTCATAACGAAAGTAGGAAAATCCTACAAACATATTTATAGACCAACCTAACCTAACCACCGCAGCGCGCTGTAAAATAAGTGGCCTCCGTATAATACGTAAGTACCATTTTTTTTTTTTTTTTTTTGTCAGAAGGTATTTTTAGCTGGTATCAAAGTGGGAAAGATGTCCCAAAACCTCACATGGGCTCTGTAGCATACCCAAACTACTATCTTGCGGAGGGTACTATGAGAACTGCTAACGATTTTACTAAAATCTCTCGCATTCTACTGACGTCTGATGATGAAATGTTTTGACCCAGAAACCCCAGCATGTCGGAGGACGGGACCTGGACAGCTACCTACTGGCCTGTCCACACGGCCTATGGTCGAGAGTATCTCACTCTGGACGTCAACTCCACGGCCACTGGCCGGGGGCCGAGGCTTAAACAGTGCGCCTTCTGGAAGAAATATCTTCCGCAACTAATAGCTGCCACAGGTATGTGGAATGTAACTCAACCAAAAGAATTTATAAGCTTTTTTAAATGAACATCTACATTCAAGTCTAAAAATGTTAATATCGTGTATGAGTTCTCCCCATACGGTTTTTCACATTTAATAGTACAACGGTAAATCCAAAATTTAAATCTAAAACCATGCTGGACTTTGCCTCACCTTTGGCCAAATCAATTTTACTTTGGGAGCCTTCAGTATCAGCTGCTATTTTACATCCACAATATTTGATCAAAATAGATTTATTAATCAATTTATTTTGTATATAGTGAGGTTAGATATAATTTTACTCTTAGAAATGGCTTAATGGGCCGAAACATGTTGAGTTTATAAAATAAAACAATTCAATTCATGGTACTAGGTAGTATTAATTAAAATTATATTCATATTAAAACGTTAGAAAATAAAGATTTTTTAGATAATTATCTAAGTTTCTAAGCTTTTATACTAGAAACTTACAAATCACGAAAAATCGGGCCATTGCTATTTAACCAGAGATTTACAAATAAAATCAGGAATAACTACTTGCCTCCTCTAAATCTTATTTTGCTGACTAACATTTTGATATACCGTTGTGCAAGATCGAATTCTTAGAAAATTAAATTATACTGCTTGGAAACCACGCCACATATTATGTGTGCATCATAGAAACATGTTTTACATGCGAGACGTATTTTATTACTCCATTGTCTTAATTAGCTGCAACAAACGATATTTTTCTTTGAAGATTCCAATAATAAATTTAATGTGTTGTATATAGTTCAAACAACTTGACTTGACCCCACTCTCTGTTGTGACCCACTCTGTGTGTTCTGTTACAGAGAAGCTGCAGGCGCCTGTTGTGGAGACGTGTGCAGGCGTGGCGAGCGTGATGGAGATATCACACGTCACGCTGTTCGCTCTCTCTCTCACACTCACGCTGTGCGCGTGGCTCGTGTAAAGTGCTCCTCGTAGTGCGACTAGCCGATAGATTGTACATACCGGCGACGACTCCCCTAAACGCCGTGTTCAGGGGGATCTCGCTTCGTTTTAAAGCGTAGATGACATTTATTTTATTTGTTATTTGAGGATATTGAGTTTGACAATAAGTAATATTATGAACTATAATGAATTGCCGCCGAACACGGAGTTCACACAGACAGTCGTGTAACATAGAGAGTGTATAAAAGTGTATAAACAGATATCACTAGTGTAATCGTCGTCGCTGCTATGACCGTAGTGCCGCGTCATCACCGAGTCAACCACCTTCACTTGTCGTGTTAGGGATGTTACAATGAGAAAGTAAAATGTTTAGTGGCCTTTCCTAATGTTTGTCTTGTTGTTGTATGCAGTCGGATCCTTTAATGAATAGTTTAACGCTGATCCCCATTTCCGAACTATTTAAAGTATTTAATTTTAAAGATACACAAAAGCTTAACATATTTCAATATTCTAACAAAAAAGTTAAAAACATTGCACTAAATTTCAATAATTTATTTAACTTTTTGGATATTTTACCGGCACAAATAACGAAACCTCAGCACAAAAACCTTTACCAAACTTGCATCTGCAGGAAACAATAATAAGGTTCCTACTATACTTTGGAGTTTTAGTTTGGTCATAGATTTGCATAGTTTTAGCGATTTAAGTAGATGGATACACAAATACGTGCAAATTGTATTTTACTTGCCTGCCAATGAATGTATACACATACATATATTTTCATCCACTATGTACATATACACATATGTACACTGAACAAGTGTTTATTTAGTGTGGCGACGACGACAATGTACATACCCTAACATATCCTCGTCGGTCACTGGAGCATTGGGACTAAAAGCTTTATTGGGGGGAGGAGCCTCCTAGCGATCGACACACAATCCAAATGTGCAGTTTTAGAGCTGTATTATTAACGAAAGCATAACGCGATAAGTCGATACAATTAAAATCAGTGAAATCGAATACTAAACACGTTCAATTATGGTTGAAAACTTAACACAACTTTAATTCTATTCAAAACCAACTATTAGTGTTAAAGCAATGAAAATATAAAAATATCCAATTTTGGTAACTTTTTTCATGATTTCAGCTAATTACAAATTGCTCATTACTTTTCCAGTAATTTTTGGGATAAAAAAACTTACTTTTAAAAACAAATTGATTACACATTCAATTTACAGATGTTTTTTAAGTCACATAAGATTTGTTAGCAAATTAAAAAAGTTGAGAATTTTTATTGGTTTTAAATCAACTTCATGAATCCTATATGTTTTGTAATACCAATAATTTTAAGGGAGTAAAATAAATAAGAAATTTGACAAATTTATAATAAATTGTGTCATACACAGCTCCAAGACTGAACTTGAATGTACATATCCTACACAGGTCATGAGGTTTCTCCCTTTTCTTCTTTCTGTATCTATCAATGTACAGTAGCGCTTGAGCTTTCCGCTTCCTCAAACTGTATCGTTCATCAAATGGTTTCTAGAAACTTTACGTTTTTACTAAAAGGCTCGCGTACACACACTTGAAAGGCCAAATTAGAAACTCACATTCAATTTAATAAATACGAGTATTGCGGCCCTGGCACAAATCATTCTCATTAACAGCACAATTTGTAGCATCGTATTTACGACTAAGGTATTTTTCTTAACTTTTATAAATCATACTTTTCACATTGATAAAATAGGTAATAGTAAGCTGTTTGTAAAATTTTTTAACCAGTATTTAGCTCGAAAAGTATTTTAAACTACAAGAGTATATGATATAATTTTAAGTATTTATGGGGTGATTTTGTATCACAGTGTATGTAGACCTAATTTATATAATAATAAGAAATAATATTTAAGCAATCAAAATATTATTACATACCTAATTTATTTTCAATATATTTCAAAAGCTAGCAAGTCGTTAGTTTGAATATTCCGTTTGATCTCAATCAATTAGCTGCCAGATTCAAAGCCAATAGTAATTTGATTACAATATTTAATATTTAAATAACTTAATGCGCTTATTCATTACAAAATAATCAACTTTATTCAACTTAGTATATTTTTTAAGATTAATAGATTTACACTTAACAGAGGTTATGTAAATTTATCTGTTGATATTAAGAAATAATTTATCTTTACCAACGACTTTCAATTGTATTATTATTTAGCTGACTGTTTTACCGTTATGTCGGTCTGCTTTAGGTGTGCAAGATATCAGAGAGTATGTCATAGTTGTTTTTCGATTAATTGTATATAATCTATAGGTAAATGAGCTGTATTGTATATATGTTATGTTATTGTATAGTGCTTTGCATTCTATAAACTGTTTGATGACTCGGCCTTCACCGTATTATTGTATAGTTCTGTTGAAATACAGCTAAATACCATCTTTGCAAACGTGTTTTTTATTGTTTCCATACTTAAGAATAATATCTTCTGGGGACAGCTACATTTAAAGGGTCTTTTAGTATAATATGAGTAAGAAAATATAAATTGCCATAAAGACGTGCAATGGAAAGGCTTTTCAAAAATATGGCAAGAGTCAGTATCAATTTAAATAGAAAAGAATTGCAATTGTGTGCCTCATTTTCGGCCCTAGGTATTGTAAAGATAAAATAATTCAATTGTGCAAACTTTCATTTAAATGATAAGCAACTCAGGTTACTTATTAATCCTGAAAAGACCAGCTTAACATAATTAACAAATAAAAAGGAAAAGGAATAAGAAAGTTCTTTGTCATTGAATATGTAAATCCAGCAAGTCGTTGAGGTAGAATGAATGCACAAACTTGGTAGATAGTTGTCAAGCTGCGCCCAAACTCACATTTGTTCCTCTCAGTGGTTTAGGCAGTGTGGCTGATTACTGTTGAGGCGTTCGATCGATTCCCAAGCTTTCTATCGTATTATTGTACTGTTTCCATCACAAAACTTCAGGCTTACTGTAAAAAATATTAGAGATACAATTAGATAAGTAGAGTTTTTGTATACAAGGATTATAATTTTTTTCAATCAATCAATCAATAAATTTATTGAACAAAAATATTAAATACATGCATATTAGACAATAGGTGCAAAAACCATACAAGGCTTGTCTGCACCAACATATTATGAAAAATATTTTTTAAATAAATAATTTATAAGTACTGTAGTTGTACTCTTCCCCCAAAGTCATGGCCACTAGTCAAATGATAACTCTGATTTTAGTTCTACTTTACAGTTGAAGTTAAATAAGAAAAGGAACATATTAAAATTTGATTGTAATTGTGAAGTTTATTCTTGTTTGAGGTGTTATACTCCAATAGATTTGCACCACTTTAAGTTACTTCCTTTAGGAATGTTTTATGTCTTTTAAAGACGAGTTTCGTTTTGACATTAGGTCACTTTTTCCTCTTCTAGCCCTGTCAATCAATATGACGCCCTTTTCACTCATCTTTGACATTAACATACTTATTGTAACGATACAAAATCGAGGTAAAAAAACTCTTATTTACATTAAAAATGATTGGTATAGATATTTTAAACTCCGTGAGTATATTCAAATCTTTTGTCTAACTATGATGAAATAAATATACGAGACAAAGATTTTACGTTAAATTATCAATATCGAAATGCAATAAAAGTAATTGTTTGTTATAATACCTCAATGAGAACGTATGTGTTGGAATATGTCAATTTTATATCATATTTTTTAGGATTAACATAATTTAAAATGATTAACAACGTGTAACCTTAACTCCATTTGACAAAAGTCTCGTTCTCCATGAGAATATTTTATTTCACTATGAAAACTTCAAAAGGTCAAATTAGCCAAGTGTAAATTTTCTAGGTATCCATTTCAAATAAACCATTGTAGTTTAAATTAAATCATGATTAATTATTTTCCAATTTTGTTTTTGTTAAACTTTAAATGACACTTCGCACTTTTGAAAACACGGGTTATGAAAGCCCAGACAACAGCTGCACTGTCCATCCTAAGAGTCAATTATTTGAGAAAGCTTTGCTGGGGAAGTTCAAAGTGCTAAACGTAGCTTTTATCCGATTGGCCGCTCTTCCCCCAAATGACATCCTTTATCTTTTAATGGACATTTCCAATACTGTCATCGTATATTTGGCGCCAAGTAAGAGTAGTTTTTTTAGGAAAAGTCGTTCCTCAAATCTGAAAAACATACTTTTTATAGCTAATAATTTTGAAGGCTCGTTAGAATATTGTTGATTCTGTCACATATATACCCTCGGTAAGCTTTTGTTTATTTAAGTATTTATATAAAAAATGTGTAATATTTACCCCCATTATCATCTGAAAAGGCCCTTGTCTTAAATTATCTATAGGAAAATCATTTTTGACAATATAAAATATTAACTTTTCCTATTGTGTGTTTTTTGTATGGAGCGAGCTGGTGTAGTGGTCGGAGCGCGGGACTTCGGTCCCTGAGGTTCCGGGTTCAAATCCCGCCAAATCACCAATGGACCTGAAGTAATGTGAAAAACAATCCCGGGCTTGTGCCTAGCGTCCTAGGAAAAAGATTGTGTGTTTTCAAAATATACTTCTGGTGTTAACATGTTTTATTGTTTTAAGTACTTAACTAAAAATATTTTCTACTTAGTTTTACTTGTTTTATTTTAGAAATTCACTTTCCAACACGAGTAAACTGATGGTTTTATTACTAAGAGTTTGTCAATTAATATTTTTAGAGAAGCCAAATGTTCAAATGCAGAAGTAGGAAAATATTAAGTACTATAAACTTTCAAAGATACTGTATGTAGCCTTTACAGATTAGCATGACATATTAATATAGGGGACAATGCATTGTGTTTACTATTTCAGTAAATAAAACTTTTAGCCACCTATATTTTTGGCCTATAAAACCGATTTGAATGGTGAGATGGTACAATTATGTAAAGTGGCTTGCAAGTTCGGACAAAATGATATATTAAAATATACCTGTGGGCTACAACTATGTTCGCTGTTCAGGCAATCTATGATGTTATTAATTTGTTCCGCTACCTTGGCAAATAGCTACATTCTGTGGATCTCAGCATTCGCATCAGCACTTTAGTAAAGTCTAATTAATGATACAAAGTTGCCATTGCGTATCAGTATATCTTAACTGTCAAGTCTAGCGCATAAGATATTTAAATATAAACAAGGAAACACATTGCTAGAAATCTAGTTAGTAAAATAGATTTATACTTATTTTCCTTTCTCTACAGAATTTACGAATGTGAAAGAAATTAAAATATAGATTTGAGAGTCGTAACATATGCATAGTCCTACCTACAATGAATGGTACATGGACTTGTAAATTTAAAATCACCTTTCATTAGTTCTAGATGCTGGTAGACTCAACTTAAATTACCTTGTATTTAATCATACAATCTTGAATATGTTTTAACACTTTCAATTTTCATGGCTGTGCTCCATTTAAGTAGAGCTTAAATGGAGCACAGCCATGAAAATTGAAAGTCTTTATAAAAAATTGTTCTCATTGAATTTAAATCCACACATAATTTTAAAATGAAAACGTTTACATAGTCTAACTAATAAACAACAACAATATATTTGATATATTTGAGATATTTTTACTTTCCTGATTGTATTATTTGCTATTATACGTAATTCAAACGTCAATTGGTATGATATATTGAACAAGGCTTTACCCACCTCCGAGCACATACCGGTACATAATAATAGTTAGTTTATTGTAGTAAAGGTTAATGCACTGTAATGCACACATGTCAAATACATATTGTTTATGATCAGACAATCCATGTTGTTTCTTACTTTTTGTCAGGTTAAAAGTATATTGATAAATTTCAAATCATAGTGTATAACTCAATAAATAAACTTTTTCCTTACATTTCCTAAAATTCAGATATCCTAGTGGTTGTCCATGAAATCGCCAATAGGGTGCTGCACTTTGGACACCAAAATGCGTTTCTCCCAAAACTCGTATTGCATTTTTTTTGTTTCAGTTTGTTTGATGGCGTCTGTTATTTTGTTGAAGATTTAACGCTAATCTGCAAATATCAAAATTTGAATGCCACACTTCTACGTTGTTGAGTACAAAAATAATTGTCTCCGTACAGTCTCATAATTATGGATGTCTCTGCCCTACACTAGTGAGCATTCATACTTTTACAGTGCATCACATACCTATGGCTTATAGTAGTGTTATTTCCCTGGTTTATGAGCATATTTAATGTCCAACGACATGGCTGTTATGTTAAAGCTTATCACCAATAAACCAAAGTACAATCATGCTGCGTGAGCCATAAACCTAGTTAGGCATAAATTAATTGCCTACTCGACGGTGAAACGTTAATAGCTATCAAACATTAAAATGGCTGCAAACATTAATTTCTGCTGATTTATAATTAGCTACCCTCTCCACTCGCAGATTACATAAAGTTTTCACCTTAATTATATACACTCAATTAAACACAAATAATTAAACGCGAAGTCACACAAAATAACAACTCAATTATGGAGTGAAATTCCCAGAAAGACTAATTAATTTAAAATAGAGCGTTTGTTGCAAATAGCGTCAATATCTGATATTAAGGGAATATCATCAATTTAACCAAATAAAGGTGTAATTAAAAATATATGCCTTGAACAGCCACTAATAACTAATTACTAACGCCCTAAAACTAATAATATTAGTTGTTAAAATTAATAGAAGTTTATCCATTAACCAAATTACAATTTGTCTCCTAATTTGTTTTAACTTTGTACAATTTTTTTTTCCTAGGACGCTACGCACGAGCCTGGAATTGTTTTTCACATTACTTCAGGCTAGACCTAGGGGTTGCGGCATTATTACTTGGATACAATTCATTGGTGACTTAGCGGGGTTCGAACCCGGGACCTCAGGGACTGAAGTCCCGCGCTCTAACCACTACGCCAGCTCGCTCCCCAACTTTGTACAATAGGTGTAAAAAAGACTGCAGTGTCAATATTTTATTAATTTCAATTCATTTGAAAACTGTTATATCGTTGTGCTGTAATTATTGTTGCTTCACTTCCACCACAGTATAATATCCAATCAACGACTAACTCATCTAGAGAGTCTCCAGGGCTTGACTTGCACCTTATTGCTTCATATTGCCCTTTGAAGTGGTAACAACGTCAGTAGCATCATCTCAACGCCACTGTTTATTATTAAATCCTGTATTAGTGAATGCTGTGGTAAGATCGATGTTATCAACAATGAAATTTAATCTTAAGGATACGTTGGAATGTTCTAAATAACGAACGTAATTCAAAACGGGGTTTATCAGCAAAATATTACAATTAAATTAATTATAACTGTAAACTATTTGATGAAACTATTCATTTTATTTTATTGACGTTTCCATCAAGTACCGTAGTCATAACAGCACCACAGTTGTAATTAT